CTTTAACCAAGATCCTTCCTTTAACCAAGATCCTTATTAAACTAAACCTGTTTTCCCTCTAGATTTCATCACCAACAAATGTTTCAGCCTCTGCCTGCAGGTGGCGCTGGAGATCCTGCACAGGAAGCTGCCTGAAGAGTGTGCTGAGCTCTGCCGGTCCTTGATTGGCTACCTGAGCAGCTGTAACCCGGCTGCTGAGCAAAGGTAGGCAGTTGGATTGGTTGGAATGGTTTGGGGAGGCGGGGATTGGTGGGAGGAGTCACTGCAAAAGTTTGCAAGGCTGGCTGGGGAATTCTGGGAGTTGAAGTCCATCTGCCTTTACAGTGGTGAACTACAGGTGGCCTTACAAAAGTCCATTTAGTGACTGTTTAAAAGTGACTTAGGACTGTTGTTCACACTTAACGACCATTGTAGCATCCCTGTGGTCACATGATCAAAATTCTTGAAAACTGATTCATATTTATGACGATTGCAGTGTCCAGGGGTTGTGTAACCTGACAAGCCAAGTCAACGGGGAAATTAGATTCACTTAACAACCGTGTCACTAAACAGCTGCAGTGCTTCGCTTAACAACTGTGGCGAGAAAGGTCGTAAAATGGGGCAAAAATCACCTAAAATGTTTCACTTAGCGACATAAATTTGGGTCTCACTTGTGGCCGTAACTCGAGGACTACCCATATAAGAAATATTGTATTAGCGAGCCCCACATTCTCGACACAACTTAGCATTAAAGCCTTCGACTTAAGACAATTCAATTAGCAATCGTTCGAGGGTTACAAAGAATGAAAAAAGCGACTTACGACCAGTCCTCGCACTTGTGACCCTTCCAGTATCCACACAGTAACACGATCAAAATTGATCCCAGGGTCACGCGATCACCATTTCAGACCTTCCCAGCCGCCTTCTGTCTAGCAAAGTCCATTTGGGAAGCCGGATTCGCTTAACGACCTCCCGATTCGCTTAACGACAGCAGCGATTTGCTGAACTGCCTTGGGGGAAAGTTCTTAAAAATCCCGCCTTGTTTAGCCATGGAAATTCTGCGAGTTGTGGTCAGTTGAGGTGAGGAATGGCCAAAAGTGAAGAGGAGCTAAAGAGCCTCTTGACGCGGGTGAAGGAGGAGAGTGCAAAAGTGGGCTTGAAACTCAACAGGAAGGAAACTAAGATCATGGCATCTGGCCCTCTGAATTCCTGGCAAATAGATGGGGGAAGAAATGGAAGTAGTGACAGATTTTATTTTCCTGGGCTCCAAACCGATCGCCGGAGTGTTGGAGCTGTGGGTTATAAGCAGGGGACGTTCTCCCACATGTGGTGGACCTGCCTCGAGGTTGGAAAATATTGGCGCGAGATAAGGAAGTGGCTGGAAGAGATAATTGAGCGAAGGATAGAGCTGAAGTCGGAATTGTTTCTCCTGGGAATCTTTGATGGGGAAATGGAGGGAAAAAAATTATAATATATAATATTACACGTATTAAAATTGTACGAGCACAGAACTGGAAACAAATAGATATCTCCCCAGAGCCAATTATAAGGGTTCACCGACAAATGCGCGCTCGACAAAAGCCCACCGACGAAACCGCTGGGTTCGAAATTGCGCCGACGAATGAGCGCAGAAGCGCGCCGACAACAGCGCGCCGACAGAAGCGCACTCTAAACCTAACACTAACCCTAATCCTTACCTTAACCATAATCGCGCTTCTGTCGGCATTCTTTTGTCGACGCGCCTTTGTGGGCGCGCTGTCGACATTTTATCGCTGCGTTTTTGTCGGGCACGCTGTTGTCGGGCGTGCATTTTTTGGGTCACGGATTATAAGAAGGAAAATCTATGAATGTGCAGAAATGGATAGACTGTCTACGGAAATGAAGGAGAGGGAAGAAATGGAGTATTATCAAATTTGGAATACCGTATTTTTCGGAGTATAAGATGCACCTTTTTCCCTCAAAAAAGAGGCTGAAAATCTGGGTGCGTCTTATACACTGAATACAGCATTTTTGGCCTCCCGAAACCCCGCCCCTTCATCAAAATGGCCGTGCATTGCCTTTAGGAGGCTTGCGGGGTGCTCCTGGGGGCTGGGGAGGGCAGAAACAAGCGAAAAATGGGCCGTTATCTGCTCATTTCCCCCCCCCCCGAGCACTTTACAAGCCTCCTAAAGGCTATGCACAGCCATTTTTGCAAAGGGGGTGGGGTTTCAGGAGGCCAAAAATGCTGTATTCAGTGTATAAGACGCACCCAGATTTTCAGCCTCTTTTTTGAGGGAAAAAGGTGCGTCTTATACTCCGAAAAATACAGTA